GGGAAGGAGCCTCCTCACTGCCAAACTCTGCCCCCTGACAGACAGGGGAAGCCAGGCAAAAGTTTTGCACCTGTCCCACGATGGCAGAGACGGGCATTCCCATGGTAACCCAGCTCCCACCATCCTGGCGTTGAGACTAGGCCAGGCCTGCAAGCATTTGCATACAAATTGCCCAGCTGGTACCTTGTCGTTATGACAACGACACACAGTTTCCAGAAAGCGCAAGGTAGGGAAACACGCAAAGGGCCCCGACTGCACTGGGGACTCAGGAGTCAGAAATGATTTTTTATTAGACAGAGCAGCCGGGGCGGGCGGTTGCAGTGTCTGTATCCTAAAACACAGACACTGCAGATGGAGCGAGCGACCTCAGGAAGCTGGAGTCAGCTCTTAGCTGGTTTTTGGGATTAAAGCAAAGAATGAGTGGTGAAACTGAGCACAATCCTAAGAGGTGAAATGGATATTGATTTCTCTAAGTCACTGGGTAAGTAGGACCAATCGAGGATGTGAGCCAGATTTCTTGCTGGAGCAAAGGAAAGACGAAAGGAAAGGAAGACGGTTCGGCGTCTGTATGGATGGAAACACAGCTGCTTGTGGCTGTCAGATGATGCCACTGTTTTTATGATGCGGTTATCTGAAGTTTCAGCAAGATGCATCGAACACATTTGGCAGCTAATCTCCAGATGCTGAACATGTCTTTTATATAATCGCCAAACCTGCTTTCCTTTGCGTTTGGATGCATCCAGTGCTCTGTCACAGGTATAACACTTCTATAGAACAAAAATGTCCTTTCAACTTTCAAATAAAGTAATTGGGCTTTTGGCAGTGCAGCACATGAGCGTGATGCCATAGTGCCCTCTAGTGATTTCCACTGGAAGTGCATGGCTTAACGGTTTATACAAAACAGGTACATTTGCAATCTGTGTCTGCAGTCATTTAAATTTGTCCTTCATCATTTTCTGTTCTGCGGTGAAGTCGCCAAAAATTAAATTATGGACCTTGATTTTACAACTGCATGGGAAACTCAGTGTCAGCGTACGCCACTGAACCAATGCAGTCTTGTTGTACACAATGATTATGGTACGCATTTAAAACTCTGATCCCAGATCAGGCGCAAGCTGCAGCTGTGCCGAATACCCTCTCAGGACGGCCATTAGCGAAGCCCCTGACATCAGATGCGTTCAGACGCCATCTGTTACTGTCACATACAGCAACATTACAGGAACAAAGGAAATCTTGCACAACATTAACTTTCAATTAAGGTAATAAAATGAAGAAAAGCCCACAGAGACCCAAGAACATTGTCGATTGGTTGAGTTTGAACTATTTCCAGAATTGCCTCTTGACTCATTTCCCAAACATGACAAAACGTGTGTGAAATTAATTTTATGCACAGCCCTGCTCAGATCCCAAACTATTAAGGCCTGAAGCTTGTCAGCGAGGGTCTGGAATGGCGACTAAGCAAACTGTGGACACAGCACCCAGTCCCTTATTTCTGTGTGCCCTACAGCCATTTTTGTACAGTTTGTCCTGCTTGCCTGACATGCTCCACCTCGCACGAGCACTATCGTTAGCGATGCCGTGCTGGGGGACGGCTGCAGCTGGTGATGGATCGCCTCCTTGGGACGTGACATTAGCTGGGGGGGGGGGGGGCAGAGTCTCCTCCCTTTAATATAAATGAGGGTGCTCCCGTTGCCAGAGGGTGAGGGGGAGGCTTTGTGGCTGTGCTATGTCAGCGGCTGTGGGAAATCATATGCTCAGTGTATTAGCCCCTCCCCGCGACCCTCGGAAGTGTACGCCCCCACTGTCAAACCGTGATTGGATTATTTTCAATTTAGCAGATGGGGCAGAACAGGTGATGCACGATCAAACCATCCCTCTCATATGCCATCTTGGTTTCTGATTGGACCAAGGTAGGACTGGAGATCAGGATGAGGATTTATTTAAAAAAAATACAATAAACATGATTATGCAACAATATCAACACAGGAGGAGTAAAGGGATTAAAAATTGTATTTTTTTTAAAGTGACCTTGAATCCTTCATGGAAGTAATGATATGCAACCTTTCTCTGAGAATCAATGTCAAAGTCACCGAATCGTCCTGCCCCAGGAAGCCATCACAGATGAAATGTGGAATCTGTGTGTCCCACTGGGGGCCGGTCTGAGCATAGATGCTCATGCATGGTGGAGCACAGCCTGCAAGACATGGCCAACATTTTTTTGGTGAAATGTGAATATTAAAAAAAAAAAAACAGTTTTGGATTGTTTTCATCCCCAAGCTACTTGGATCACGACGTCTTCTAGACCACAGTGCTATCATAGCAGATGAATCTTAGAAGAGTGTTTCCCAATACAGTCCTCGGGGAACCACAGTCAGTCCATGTTTTTGCTTGAGCTGGGAGGGAGCAAAAACGTGGACTGTCTGGCAGGGAGCTGGGAGGGAGCAAAAATGTAGATCACCTGTGGGTCTTGGAGGACCGGACTGGGAAACACTGTCTTAGAGGATCGTCCAACGGCTCTGCACACAGAGAACAGCCCCAGGTGGTTTAAAAGCCACCAGCACCCTGGAGATTCTCCCATCTGTGGCATAAAATGCTCAAACAGGGTTTGATGACACAGCTGTCTATACTTAAGTTTTATGCTTAACTTTATGGTATTATCGGGCCATAACATTTAAATTATAATTGACTGGCATGAGGTCAATGGTATGTACTGCCTTAGGACAAATTCCCAGGATGGGTTCTAGATCTCTCAGCCGTAACTGGATAAGCGGTTACTAAAATGGACAGATATATTCTCAGTGGAAGGCAAAGTCTTATCTGCGCAGTCAGGACTAAATAGGCTACACTTCTCCACCCAGGGCTCCAATCCGCCTTAATCTTCAGGGAGATGTTCTGCTGTGTCTTTGCCAGTGCACTGCAGGTGTAGGCTATGCATGTTGACTCCCAGGCACAGCCCAATACCCCACACACCAGAAGGTGAAAGTGCAGTGTGCTTGTGACCTGATGGGGCCACACTGCAATAGTGCCCCCTCAAGAACGAAGTCTGCCATCCAGGGACCATGTCTCTAGAATGGTCATAAACCATCATCCCCCCAGAATGTGCATCACAAAGGGGAGATTACATATTACAACTGTTGCTTCCTTAAAGAAAATCATGGTCCTCTCTGGGTTCAATACCCCGGGGACGTAATATCTCATGTTCCGAAGCATAAACAGAATCTCCCGCAATAAAAAGCTCTTTCTCACTCAGCTCAAGCATGATAAGATGACTCTTTGAAGAGCTTGCTGTTAAGGCTTAGCGTCTTTCAGCCCCAGACGCCTCTTCAGCCAGCCCCCCCTAGCAGAGACTGATTACCTACATAAGCCAATGACATTGACGGTATCAAGCTGTTTCAACACCTATTACTCTGTCTTCCTGTCAATGACACGCTGTTCAAGGTCAATTGACCTTCCTGACACAAGCTTCTCTTATCTCATAGATTCCAAAACCTAATAAGACAAAAATAAAGAAGTGGGAACAACCATATCTTATCAAAGAAGCATATTATCATTAACAGCCTCATATACTCTGTAAAAGTCTTAAGCAGTTGTAGGAAATGTTTAAAGCTATTTATCTAGGTAGTAAGTGTATATTTTCTCAGAATGAAAAGCAACATTTAATAATAGAACATATGCAAATTATGAGTGAAACAATAAAAACTAACAGGTATTTCTTATGTTCTCCTAAAAGTTACTGATATCTTGTTGGATGGCTATAGATGGACAGTGCTTCAGTTCCCAAACCTCAGCCATTCCATGTGTTATTAAACTTCATTCATAAATCCAACTAATTTTAAAAAGTCACTAAGACATTGATTCGTCATATGAGGTATGCTAGGGATCAAGTCAAAATATACATGGCTGTATTGCTGCAAATACTGGGGTGACTTTAGGAGAGGTTTTGAAAAAGTTAAGGGCTGACACATTTTGACAGGCATAATAGTTTTACATCAACATGAAGATCATCTAAACAATTTCCGGTGGCTGCTTAAGACTTGGACAGTAATGTACATTATATGGGAAAATCAGTAAATCAATAGTAAATGAATAATAAATCAAACTTTTTATTTGAACTTCTAGCAAACCGATGGTCAGGCAAGGGACTGAGATTCTGCTAGATGTATTTTTATTTTTGATATATTGAAAATTGTCATATTTTGGAGTGTTCAGGTGAAGAGAAAAGTCAGTTCTTATTCAAACTAATTTATCTTACAAAGCTAATTTGTCCTGGTAACTATTATTTCTGTCACAAAGTAGATAACATAGGCTACAAATATTTTGTGTATGTCAGGGAAACTCTCAGACTTGTGTTCTGAATTATTTGCTAGGAGTGCTGTTTCAGCATCTAAGTTATGATGGCAATAAGACTTGTTCTTTGTACGTCAAGTATTTTAAGGTGTGCTGCTTTCCTTTCAGATATTTTATGTCAGTTATTTTAGTGCTGACTGGTATTTTAGTATGTACCTGAATGAAATGTATAGGAATGATCTCCTTATGCGTCCAATATTCAGATGGATCATGACTCTTTATCAAGGGCCTACAGTAAGTACCAAAGGGACCAAATTAGCGCCGAGCCCCTCCACCCCTCCAAAACAGACACATTACTCACACAATCCATAACGTCCATACCTATATCTACGCCCTTGCTATGCACATTGCATAAATTAAACAAAAATACATGTGCATGCACTGCCATTAAGTATTAAAACAAAATCATCATTATAGGTAAGACAGTATACCCCTCTGGTAAAACAAGCCGGGTTTCATAAGCGTTGAATAATAAGGGAATACATCTATAAGGGAAATTGTTAAACACTGCACAAGCACACGAAACTGATAAATGCTTCCCCTATTGTGGGCTGTTTAAACACTTGAGGAAAAACACGATGCAGAAACTTCCCGATCAGAAGTTGGTCAGGCGGGGGTGTTTCCACCTGCCGCCACCTCATGTGACGCGCGATTCCCCCTCTGGCGCCGCGGCGGAGCAGATTCAGCAAATACATTCACTAAAAAAATCCCCCACCGGCTCCAACATGGCAACCAAATGGGGAATCTGTAGCGCTGGGAAGATCAGCCACGATTTCGTCGTGGCCTTGAAGACTCTGCCTGCTGAGGACCACCAGGTAGATCCACGTGCCACACGTTCCCGGCGCTTTACTACCAAACTTGTGGGTCCGACTGTTCAAGTCCCCCGGTGCAAAACTTTAGACGAACTTAAGAACAGTGGCTGGACTTTTAGTTGTATAGCGAAACGAACTTGCGTACTTTTTTTCATTCATACAGATATTAACGTTTTGTTGCTCGGCAGGTTTTAACAAGAATCACAGCTGACATACAGAGATTTTCGGGCAACTAATGGACGCCCACACGAATAATTTAAAGTGAAACTAAATATGAAACTGACATTATCCTGGCAGTAGAGCAGGCACAACGAGTAATCAAGGGCTGTTTATACTGTAATGCGCCGACTATTTGCGCACTCTAAAATAGTCGTTCGCTTTAATTCAAACAGCACATTGTGTGCTTCAATAAAGAACATTTTTTGGAGATGTCATTAGAATGAAAAACTCATGATTGCTCGTGTGTGATCCGCTGTTTTCCCCAGGTAGTGGCTGTGGCCGCCCGCAATCTGCAGCATGCCCAAGACTTCGCCAAAATATTCGGCATCCCGAGAGCTTATGGGAACTACGAAGAACTTGCAAAAGACCCGGAGATCGGTACGTCTACCTGCGCTATTACGATACTGCATATTCGTTTTAGATTTCATTCTGATGACTTGTCTCTCATTCTGCTGGCGTTCCCTCTTCTTGTGGCCAGATGTTGTGTATATTGGCTCCATTCACCCCTGCCATCTCCAGCTGGGAGAGCTCTTCATGAACTCCAGGAAAAATGTACTGTGTGAGAAACCACTTGCCATGAACTCCAGGGAGGTGGAGCTGCTGGTCACTGCAGCCAGGAAGAACCAGGTCTTTCTGATGGAGGTACTGAAACCGCTCACACATGCTAATAGGGGAATTACCTGCTAAGTCAGTCTGTGATTAATGACACAAGTTCCTATTTCTCCCATCACTGCTTCTCACCGCTGAAGGCCGTGTGGACACGTTTTTTCCCCGCATCCCTGGAGATCAGCCGGCTGTTGGCCCTGGGTGTGGTGGGAGAGGTGAAGATGGTGAAGGCTGACTTTGGCTTCCCGCTGAGGCACGTGCCCCGCGCGGTGGAGAAGGAATTAGGCGGCGGGGCGCTGCTGGACATCGGGATCTACGGCCTGCAGTTTGCCTGCATGGTCTACCAGGGCGAGAAGCCTGAGTCCATCCAGGCCACCGGGGTCTGCCTGGACACAGGTAGCAGAGGCCTGGGTGGTCAGAGTCGCATGGGGGTTGGGGATGCAGGGCCGCCAGAAAGAGCCAGAGACTCAAGGTTTATGGTACCTTGACCATTTTCCTCAGGCAAGGGCAAAAACTGTCACCTTACAGATGCAGAGTATGGATTCACTTTTAAATCACTTCACACATATTTGATTTAGAGGAGGAACCACTTGGATTATGAGTGAAATCTACAAATGATTTACAAAATAAAGGGCTACAGTAGTTTATTGCACAATAAAAGCAAGATTCTGTCATTAATACCCTGTTCCGCTCAGGAAAGTCCGTATTTTTGCTTGTAAAAGCTGCAAAATAAAAGTTTTATTTTATTTTAGGTTTTACTGACCAGCAGTGTTTAAACCATGCTTGGTTTAATAAATTGGGTTTATTATGACAGAATAATGCATGTAAATCTTAGAGGACAAGAAGCTGAGTCTGGTAAAATCCAAAGGATCTTTTACATGCACTTTGGTCTGTTCCTTGGGGTCTGCAGATGGGCTAGGGACGGTAGTTGGATGCACACGTGTTTATGGCTGCAGTCTAAGGTGATGGTGTTTTGCCCAGGTGTGGATGAAGCCATGGTGCTTGTCCTGACGTTCTCAGGCAACAGGATGGCCGTGATCATCTGCAGCGTTGCTGTGGAGCTTCCCAATGATGCCACCATTATTGGAACTAAAGGGGTGATTAAGGTGGGTGAATTTTTCATAGTTAATCTTCTGACAAAAGAGCCAACTATAAGCAATTAAATATAAATCTTTGATTCTGAGATACACAAGTTTAGGTAGGATGTAGTTAGTCATTTTCTCAGACAGCAGGTGGCGCTTTTCCTGTATATACAATGTAGGTAGATCAGCATGAACATACAGTAATGCATGGTTCCCAAACTTTTCAGCCCATGACTGTTACATATTGCATATAAAAGTGCCAGAGACACGTAACCCCCCC